CACTGGGTTTGACCAGCACCACGTAAAAATAAAATAAAGGTATTGAGTCCACCTGCAACTAAAAAATAAACATTAAAAAAAAAAAAAAAAGAGCAGTGAAGAGGGGTCGCGCGAAGGACTCGGGAAGAACACTCTTAGCCGCGGAAAAGCAGGCCACAGGGGCTGGCCCGGGAGTGAGGCCTGCTGGGAACGTGAGCGCTTCACACGGTCCCACTGTGACACCCGTCCCACTGGATGCTGGGGCCACGTCCACCTGGCTCCGGCCTGCGTGACCTGCGGGAGGAGACCCGCCATTTTCAGCTCTGCTGCTGCAGGTGGGCTGTGGCCGGACAAGGGGGTGAAGGAGCAGAGTCCAGGGCACATGGCCGGACGCGGGCCACCTGCCAGCATGACGCTTCAACAACCAGTTCTATGGCAACGTCCTGTCCAGAGGGCCCGAAAGTGAGCCCTCTAGGGAGGCCGAGATCACATACCCCACTGGGATCATCCTCCCGGGACTCCTGGGGTGAACGGCCTGCACCTGCCGAGTCCACGAGGGCTGCCGGTCCACCAACCCCAGGTGCTGCAGCAATGATTGATTTCTACAGGAGCAGAAGTACCCGAGCTACCCTACCATGACAAGTGACCTCCAGGAGCTCACGCCTGAAGAGCCAAGGTGGCACCACAGGTCAAGCAGGGCCCAGGTTGGGCCCAGGTGAGCAGAGCTGCCCCCCTCCCGGCCCCCGCTGCACACCCTGCAAACGGGCCCCGGGATAAGAGGCGGCTGCAGAGCTGGAAGGCTGCTGCGGAGGGCTCAGCTACTGGCCCGCTGTGACCCGGGCAAGGTGCTCAGGCTGCTTCCACGTCTGTAAGAGGGTCAGTAGTAAGAGCCTCCCAGGGCCATGTGACCACAAAATGAGCAAACACTTAGACCGCAGCAAGCTCACAGCGGCCACAACAAACCAGGTATTTGGTGATGGTGTCACCATCTCTCCCCGCAAGAAGGGGCAATGTGGGACTCACAGGCCTTAGGGAGTGTGACCTGAGGAGTGAGACTCAGGTCCCGACTCCATCCCCATCCCAGGGCGGCTCCTGACAGCTAAAAGCAGCAACAGCAGGACAGGACACCTCCACATGAGGCCAACACAGACCTCCACGTGACTTCAACACTGAAGATACTTTGGGGAGGGCCCAAAGCCCTCCAGAGAAATTGAGGAGACATCTAGGAGGCAGAACCCCACTCCTTGGAAGGACAGCGGGTAGAGCAGGCCTTCCCTGCAAACTGCAAGGTGTTCAGGGGGTCAGGAGGGTACCAGTGACACGTCCCCCAGCATGTCCCCAAGGGTTCATATGCTTGACACCTCTCTGACGTGGGGGTATTAAGTGGTGCTCGAGTCTTTGGAGTGGCAGGTAATTAGTCAGTCACTGGAGTCACCACCCTTAGAAGGGCTTAATGCTGGCCTTGCAGTTATTCTCCCGAGTGCGTAGTTATAAAAAGAACAAGACAGGCCACTCTGTGGCTTCCTGTCTCACCATGTGATCTCTCCCATGCACTCCTACCATGATGCCACCCGTCATCTCATGACACAACCAAAGGGCCCTCATACAGGTCACGACAGGGCTGCCCAATCTTAGTGCCCAAAACGGTGGCTACATAAGCCTCTGTGTGCACAGTAGCCAGCTGGGTATTCTATTATAGCAACAGAGCCCGGACTGATACACCACTCGACAAGCCCCCCAGGGCTCGGCACAGTGTGTACCCTGACCCTTTCCTCCAAGTCCCCACGGTAGCCCCACTGCCAGGTCACACTCTTGGCCTTGGCATTACCATGTCTGCGATTCTTCATATCCTGAACTTCTGCAGCCCATCTGCAGCCTCCACCCACTGCTTCCTGCTTCTTGGTCCACCCCCTACTCCCTGAATCCAACCGCTGTCCACCCTCTGGAAGAGGGGACAGCACATGGTGTCCTTGGGAAGTACAGTTAGAGGTGAATAAGTACATCACTGTCCCCCATCCACAAATCTGCTGGGTGCTGGGGATACCAGGAACACGAGACAGTCCCCCCAGGGCAGGGACGGTGCCTACACAGTAGAAGCACCTGCTCTAGCCTGAAGGCCATGGGAGGGCAAGCAAAGGGAGGGCACGGTGAGAACTAGGGCAAAGGTCAGCAGCACAAGGTGGCAGAGCTGAGAGCGACCAGCAGAAGCCTGCTCACAGGGCCTCGCAGCCAGGCTGGGCCTCCGATATGCAACCAAACAAGAAGCCACGAGGGTTAAGCAGACGAGGGGCACAACAGACTGCCCTCCCCAAAGATCACTCGGCAGGCTGGCAGGGGACAGAGGGACAGCAAGACCACAGCAACAGTGACAGGCTGGAAGGCTGGGTGCAGCTGGGGTCCGCCTATGCCATGACGGTGGCCCGGAGGAGCTGGCAGCAAAGTGGAAGCCGGGCTTTAGGTTTGCACGCGGCTGTCTGGGCCCAGGCTACACCTCTCGGCCTCCCAGCAGTGAGCTGTGCCGGACACTCAGTTCAAACAGAAGGTATGTGTGCAACTTCCAAGAACTGTCCCTAAAGAGAGACTGGCCAGGCACGGAGGCGCACACCTGTAATCCCAGCTACTTGGAAGGCTGAGGCAGGAGGATCGCAAGTTTTGAGATCTGCCTGGGCATCTTATTTTGAGATCTCATTTCAAATAAAAAATAAAAAGGACTGGAGTGTAGCTCAGTGGTAAAGACCCCTGGGTTCAATTCCCAGTACAAATAAAGAATTAGATAAAAAAAGAGAGAATATCCTTCTGCCTTTCTGCTGGCTGGAAAAGTAGACGTGACGGGTGGATCTGGTACAGCCAGATGGGACCATAGGTGACAGAGAATAAACGGAGGCCTCACTTAGTCGAAAGAGGACAGGAGCCCACCGCTTGTCCGGCATGGATGCCACTTGGAGGAGACCACAGCTCTACCCTGGTTGGCCCCCATCACGCTGGGCTTCCTGTCACTCATCAGAACCCAGGTGTAACTGCCAGCGGAGCAGGAGCACATCAATCCCACCCAGGAACAGCCTGTCCGAGCCCAGTAATGACCTGGATCTGGGGTGAAGGAGCCCCGAGAACCAAGGGCCAAGCAGGGTTTCTGGATCACACAACCACAGAACAGGGTGGGGCTGCCATTGGCTGAGATGGAGCGACTCCAGAGCCAAGCGAGGCACGCCTGGAGGTAAGAGGGGAGACTGAGCACTCAGCTTGAAACTGGCCGATGCTCCTTAGTCCATCTAAAACATGAAGTGACACGGAGGCACGGAGAGAGGACTGGCTTAGGAAAGGAAGACACAGACTCTGCCTCCTCACTGCGGCCTGCGCCACCCCGGGTGCGTCACTTCCCACCAGCCTCAGTTTCCCCACCCATACGAGGGGATGCCGCCTTCCTGGCCTACCTCAGTAGGTAACAAGGGAACCCATTCTGGAAACTATCAAGGAGACCTGATGAAGAGCAGGGGTCTGGGGGTGGCTCAGTGGGAGAGCACATGCCTAGAAGCGGGGGCCCTGGGTTCCATCCCCAGCACTGAAAGAAGAAACAAAAAAAGAAGAAGTACACACGATTTATCAGTGTGGCCAATACGCTGCCGATGAGGGCTTTGATCCCCCTGGGAAGGAGGAGTGCTGAGGACAGAGCTCAGGGTCACCGGGGCAAGTCTGCACTCCTGGGGAAGAGTCCTCACAACCCAAAGAACTTGCACATGGAGACGGTGGGGTCCCCAGGGCAGGTCCCAGTGGTCCCCTGCGGAGCGGACGCGCTGCCCTGCTCTCCTGTGTCTTCCCAGCACCCACAGCTGCAGGGGCAAGCTGCACTGTCCTTGGCCTTGATCACGGCCAGCAAGAAGGTGCCACCCCAGCCGTGTGCACTCGGCATCTGGACGGCACTGCTGCCAGCATCTGGAACAGCACCTACTGTGGAGACCTCCACCCCAGCTTCCCTGTGGAGCCAGGTCTGAATTTTCACCTGACTGGGCAGAGCCATGATACTGGCCTTGTTCTCCCGGCAGCTGGCCCCTGGCCCCTGGCCCCCAGCTGGCCACTCTCTGAGGCTCCTGATGCCTCGCCTCCTCAACCAGAATGGACCCAGATGTCCCTGGGCCTCACTTCTCACCAGAGCCTGGGAGTCAGACAAGGGCCCTGCCTGCGGCTCGGCCCCGTGCACCTCCCAGGTCTAGAACCGCCTGTGTGCAGGACAAACTCCCCCGGTCCTTCCAGAGCAGCTCGGGGGCTCTAGCCGGCCCACCAGGAAGTAGTCACTTCCTTCCCCCCACTCCCTAGGCTCAACCCGACAGGAAGTGCCTGGCTCCCGAGGGTGTCCTGGTGCCTGTGCCAGGAGGCCCTGCTCTGCACATTCCCTAAAGACACGTTTGTCACCCCCCGTTCCGTGGGGCCTGGCCTCAGCCCAGACTCCGCAGGTACTCAGTGCGTGCCGAAGGGATGGGTGCAGACAGTCAGAGGGACAAACAGGCAGAAAGGAGATATCAGCACGAGCCCACCTCCACAATGGCCCCTGCAGTCAGAGGCCTGGCTCATGCCATCCCTGCAGCTGGTCCCCCAGCTGGCCCCATGACCTCAGCCTTGGGCTGACTTCCTGTCCTGCCCTCCCAGCTGGGGGGTCGTCCCAACATGCCTGAGAAGGGACATCTCTGGACATCCCTTACAGGCTCCTGATCAAATCCTGGCCAGCCCCTACAAGGATGGTCATGCCTATAAAGGCCCAGGGGTAAAGGTCACGCTGATGGACCTCACCTGCCTCTCCCACCCCACCCCTTCCCTTGATCGGCAGGGGTCAGGCCTCCGGACAGGAAATGCCCAGGCTTCCTCCCAGTGCCCAGAGTGTGCAAAGAGGGAAGCCTCCCTCCTCCCCAGATCCAGTATCCCCTTCCCCTCTGCTCCCTCAGCTGGAGACCCAAATAAGTGGCTTCCCCGCATGCAGAGCACCAAGAAAGGAGAGGTGTGGGTGGGTGGCCCTGCCCATCATCACCCACCGGAAGCCACTATGCGAGTTCCTTGGGTTGACCAGGATGCAGTCCCAGGTGCGACTGGGAGCGTTCTGGAAAAGGACCAGCTGCCCTTCTTCCCGAACCCGGTTACTTGAGGCGTAGTCCGCCACTGCCACCTCCTTCACCCGGAATGGGTTAGAGAACAGGTTGGTGACGCTAGTGAGGGTATTGACCAAGCGGCCGAAGAACTGCATCTTCTGTGGGGCAGGTGGGGAGGCCCTGCCGCCTGCCTCCTCAGTCTGGAAGAGAACAGGGTCTCCAGTCAGCTGGGCTCCGTCTCCCATGCCCACCTCACCAACGCAGCTGGATCCTGCACAGGCACCTGTGGCCCCCACCAGGCTGTCCCTTGAGTCTGGGCCTGCAGGGACCTGAAAAGGAGGGGGGAGAGAGAAAAAAACAGCACTGAGCAGGAAGTCAGAGGTCTAACAGGAAGCCCTGCAGCCCCCAGGGCCCAGCTGGAGACCCAGATGCACAGAGACCTTAACCTCCCGCTCCCTGACCCAGTGTCCCTGACAGACTCGATTTCCTCATCGGTGGTCAAATGGGACAGCAGGCGGGAGCACATGCTGTCGGCAGGAAGGCCCTGAGCGAGCAAGGGCTTCTCACTCCACAAATTATAGAAATAATTTTTTGGCAAAGAGCTCAGCATTTCAATTCCAGAAGCAAACTCAGATCCCTTCCCCAATAGACACCACAGGGAATCAGGCCTCACCACTCTGCCTTGGGGGAAGGGGCCATGGGCATGCGAGCGTCCATCGCATTCCTTTGCTTCCTACTGGCACTGGCTTCCCAAAGAGCTCTGGGGAAGGGGGCCAGAAATGAGCCCCTTGTTCGAGTTTTCAATTTCCACAGTTTCAGTGACTGTAGTCCAAACATATCATGTGGAAAATTCCAGAATTAAATTATTTCTAAGTTATAACTTGCATGCTGTTGTCCGTAGCAAGATGAAATTTCATGCCATCCAGCTAGGTCCCAACCAGAGGGTAAATTCATTGCTTTGTCCAGCATATACATTACCCACCCAGTAAGTCACTTAGTAGCCATCTCAGTTGCCAGATCAGTGGCCACTGTACTGCACTGCTTGTGTTCAAGTGATCCTGTATTGCTTAATGATGGCCTTAAGGTACATGAGTAGTAATACTGGAAATTTGGAAATGCCAAAGAGAAGCCCTGAAATGCTGGATATATTGTTTTTAGTATTATCCTTGGTTTCAGGCATCTACTGGGGTTCTTGGAATGAATCCCCTGTTGAATAAGGGAAGACTACTGTAATTGCATTAGAGATGTTTACCGACCACTTACTGTGCAGTAATTCCTGAGTTAAATACTTTATGTGATTGCTTCATTTATTTATTACAAAACCATACAAGGCAGATACACTAAAAAACACAGTGCAGGTCTAGAACCTGGCTGAGTTCAAGTTCTGGACTTACCACTTAGCTCCATGACCTTAGGTAGGTTACTTAACCTCTGTCTCAGTTTCCTCATCTGTCTCACAGAAACCTTAATAACAGCGCCTAGCAATAGCACACAGCAGATAGTAAATATTCAATGAACACTAGCTACCTTTTTACAGATAAGGAAACTAAGGCTCAGGGCACCCTGAATGCAGGACTCTGAAAACACCGAAGCTTTGCAATGTCTTTCCCTCTAGGATTAGTAGCAGGGTGCAGTGTGGGAAGGCAGCCTCAGTTTTCTCCTTTCAAATGGGGACAAGCCTCACCTCCCTCACAGTGTGAGGACTGAAGGAGAATGTGAGAACACTCAGACCTGCCACGTTTCCTTCTCTCTCCCATACTTGGGGGCTTTAAGGACAGAGAAGCTGGAGAGATTGTGTCCCTCTCCACAGCCAGGGAAGACATAGGAATTGGTCCCAGGAACCCCCCACCCAAAATATAACCAAAATGGGTCCCGGCACGCACGTCGCCATGCCTCGACACCCATGTACAATGGTGAACGTGGCTCCATTCACTCAGGCAGTACCACGTGGCCACTAAAAGCTGTGACTACAAAGTGTGGCCACAGGAGAAACTTGGTGACACGAGTCCACACCGCTGCCTGTGCTGCTCCCATGAGCCACAGGGGACTGGTAGCCTCTGCCGCCCGTGGCCCCCCCCTCAGGCTCTCCAGCCGCACACCCTGTCCACTCCAAACCTCATGCATTTGGGAGAGTAAAGCCCCGAGCACTCCCCGGCCGCCTGCCTGGCTGTGGCCATCTGGACAGGGTCCACCCTCTCCTTTTCTGTGTGGAAAGGCCTGCTGCTGTTCAAGTCCAAGCTCAGCTCTCACACGCTCTTGAATCGCTCTGCGCACGCCTCTCCAGCTGCCAGGTCTCCCCCTTGCTTGATGCTGCCCCTCGTTTTAAAGTCACCTCAGGGCTGGGGGTACAGCTCAGTGACGGCACATGCTCAGCACGTGGGAGGCCCTGGGTCCCATCTCCACCACCACAAAAGTCAAAAAACTCTCCACTCCTCTGCCCCAGTGTGTCCTAAGTGTCCCCGCCAGACGACAAGCTTCAAACCAGTCACCCCCCCACACGACCCAGCCCCTCCCTGTGCTCGGCACTGTCCCCTCCGCATTCTCCCCATTTCCCCCGCAGGACCACCCGACCGAACAGTTACGTCCTCATCCTCATTTCACATGGGATTCAGCCACAGAAAGGTTAAGTGATGTGCCTGAGGTCACACAGCTAGAGGCAGAGGACAGAGGACTGGAGCCCCTGCTGGCTCCAGAGCCCAAGCTCTTCTCACTTCTACGCTCACCCCTAGCTCACCCCTAGCTCACGGCAAGTTTGTCAGATCAGAATTTAACTGAGAAGAAAATAATACCAAGACAGAAAACACCAGAATACCAACACAGAGGACGGCGCTGGGCTTACGGCGGTCTTCTGCTTTCCCGGGTTTTCCCAATGGCATGCGAATGATTATACGTTTCTAAAGAAAGCAGGAGTGGGCCGAGCTCCGGGGGGCCAGTGGGGTCAGGGTGGCTTAGAACAGGGCAGACAGGCGTCCCGGCAGCAGGCCCAGGCACGCGGGGGACCCCCAGGAGGGGAGGGCATCAGGAGCACTGGCAGCCAGGGCCACTGGGGCCAAGGCAGAAGCTGACCAGCGGGCTCCAGCTGCCTCAGAAACGACCCCCAGCCCAGAGGAGGCCCTGCCTCGGTGTCCCAGCCCAGGCCCCAGCGCCAGGGCTGGCGGGGCGCCCCCACAGGCTGACGGCAGTGCGGCCACAAAAAGGATGGCCTGGCTCCCACCCAGCCTCCTGGGGTTGGCGTGAGGATGAAGTGACGCAGTGGAGGGAAGGGTCCAGGACACTGGCCACTGTGCACAGAAGCGGCAGCCATCGCCATCACTAGGTGGAGAAAGGAAATGGAAACCACCGGCCACATCCTGGCACCGTCCTGGCCAGGAGGGCGGCCAGTGGGGGGAAGGCAGGCACGTGCCTCCCCGTTCCTGTCCTCTTCCTCTGTCCCCCACTTAGAGCCCAGGGGAGGGGGGGGAGCGGGTAGCCACCGGGGACCTGGGGCCTGTACTGGAGCCTGACCCTGCACAGCCTCCTCTTCACTTCCTCCCGCTTCTCCAGCCTCCACCCTTCATCTTCCCGGGTGTAAACATCTGCTTTAACCCATAACAACGGTCCCTCCTGCCGCCCACCTGGGCTGGCTCCCTGCGCACCACTGGCCCACCACGATGCGCGACCCGCGACGCGCTCCCGGGACGCGCCCAGCAGAAAAACAAAACCCAGGACCAGTGATGGCAGTGACGGCCACTCCAGGCTCTTCCCAGGGGCCAGTCTGTCTCCCCGGGTTGAGGCCAGATATTAGTGGCCTTTCTCCTGCTCTGCTCACCAGTCCCTTGTCCCAGGCCCAGCGCACCCGCCCGGTTTGTTCAGGGAAAACTAACGGCATCTGCAGAGGCCGAGGCTCTCTGGCTTCCCCCTGAGAGAAGAGGCCAGAGAGGCCTCGAGCGGTCAGTGTCCAAAGAGCAACTAGAGTGGGACATGCCGACTCCCACCCAAAAGGAAACACTGACAAAAGCCAGGCGCAGCGGTGCACACCCGGACTCTGGGGACTCGGGCGCTGAGGCAGGAGGATCACAGGTTTGGGACCAGCCTGGGCACCTCAGCGAGGCCCTGGGTTCAAAATCCCCAGAAGTGCCACAGAATGACATAAAGGGAAGGATCCCTTCTTGTCCTTCAAGGCTCGCTCAGGAGCCCTCCCAGCCTCCCCTCAGCAGCCCAGTCACAGCACACAGCCCAGGGGGCACTTACCAAGGGACAATGACGGTGCACCTGTGGGCTTCTTGATTTGTGCCTCACAGTGGGGGTCTAATGACTGTCACAAGAACGAATGGCTGAAACCTAAAGAACCTGGCAAGCCCACCAGCTGGGCACCCAGGAGGTCCTCGGAGGGGATAATGGAGACCACCCCTCAGCCCACAGCACTGCCGGCTCTTCACTGAGAGGAGCTCAGCCCCCCACCCAGAGAACCCTCCTTCAGCACCTCTGAGCTTTAGGAGGGGCACCCAGTGCCAGGCAGGTCCCTCTCTGAGCCCTGGTCTGGAAAGTTCAGCTTCACAGACGCTGGTCAGGGTGCCTACAGCTGAGCTCATTCCTACTCCAAGCAGGGAAACTCTCCAGGCCCCAGGCTTCCGCAAGAGTGGGACAGCTGCCCAGGAGGTGACAGGAGCCCAGAGGCACCCAGCCAGGAGCAGGCCTCACAAGACAGGCCACGTGGGGGTTCTAGGAGCATACAGAACTGCCTAAGGTGAAAATCAGGCCACCAGAGTCCTGGCCACTTACAGCAGGATGTCCCATGATTGGAACAACTGCTGGTTGGTCCTGGCAGCAGGACAGTGACACCCCCCGAACCACCAACACCTCCTGCCACCCCATCATGACAAAGCCAATGGAGGACACAAGGTCTGATCAGAGCACCAGCTTGCAGTCACCCCCGGGCTTCCTTCCGGCAGCTCTCACACCTGACCACCCACACAGGAGCACGTCCCCACTCACGGGACCCCATCCTCTAACAGGTGGCCACATTTTTATGGAGAGCAAAGGGATCCCACATCTCTTAGTGGACTCTGAGCTCACGAAGAAACCTGGAAGCTGCAGTGTCCACAGGAAAGCAGCCCAGAGACAGGAAGTGGGGGTTCTGCCTGCGGCTGGGTCCTGAACTGCAGGAGGCAAAAGGCCCGTCACAGGGCAGGTGTGCAGTTCACAGGGAAGGCTAGCTGAGGTCAAAGGTCACATCTACCTGCCACCACCCCTGCACCTCCAAGGCTGCACCCACCAAAAGGTCCCTCCAGCCCTTCACCCTAGCTCCAGCTCCAACCTCTTTGCTAAGTGAGTGAGGAAGGGAAAGGGCTCAGTCCTGTCACCTTCCACCCCAGCAGCACTGCCACCTTCATCCACTGAGCGCCAGACACCTCATGAGATGAATCACCATCTTAATCCTCAGGACACCCCAAGAGAAGGCAGGTCTCCCCGTGTCTCACGAGGCACTGAGGCTCAAGCAGACCAGGTAACTGCCGGGATCTGAACCCAATTTGCTGGAATCCAGAGCAGCAGCACTTAGTGCCCAAACCACCTTCAGGAAGAAGCTGGCCGGAAATGCTGGATGAGGCTTGATTTTGCCTCCAGGACTCCCAAAGCCAAGGTCCTCACCTAAAACGCGATCACAGGAGCCAGGTTAAAGTGCCCCTTGAAAAGGGAAAAGGCGCCGGGCACGGTGGCACAGCCTGTAATCCCAGGGGCTGGGGAGGCTGAGGCAGGAGGATCACAAGGTCAAAGCCATCCCCAGCAACTTAGTGAGGGCCTGTATCTAAATAAAAATAAAAAGGGCTGGGTTCAAAAAGCACCGTGGGTTCAATCCCCAGTACCAATAAACAAACAAATAAATAAAAGGGAAAAGGTGTCTCTCTCATTCACTCTGCTTGGCCAGAGCACAGCTAGAGCCAACTGTCCAGAGGACTGCAGGAGACCCGGAGAGAGTGACACAGGAAAAATCTGAGAGCCCCTGAAGCTGGTGCAGGTGGCCCATTTTGTGATTCACTCCACAAATATTTATGAGGACCTGCTATGGCAGACACTGTTCTAACTACTGAGGGAACAATAATGAACAGAGAAGAGAAGATCCCCGCCCTACTGGAACTTATATTTCAAAGAGGCCTGCAAATAATAAAGAAGACAAATAAGAGGTGTGTGTGTGTGTGTGTGTGCGCGCACGCTAATTAGGTGCTGAGGAGAAAAATAAACCTGAGAAATTAGAAAGGAAAGGTTGAGGTGGAGACTGGAATTTTAGATATGGTGTCCAGGGAAGCCCTCACTAAGAACTTGACCTTGGATAAATTCCTGGAAGATGAGAGGACAAAGTCATATGGGAACCAGGTGAAGAGCTTTCTTCTAGGCAGAAGTGCAAAGGGCCTGGGGCTGCAGCATGCCTGGTGAGTTCCAGGAACAGCAAGGAAACAAACGGGAAGAATAGGGACTAGGCCTGTGTAGGGAGTGAAGTCACAGCAGAGCTTGGAGAAAATGAGTGACATTTTAACAGATTACTCTGGCTGGATATGGGGTAGCAAAAAAGAGAGACCCCAAGGATAATCTCACAGCTTTGATCTGGCAACTGAAAGAGTAATGCTGCCAATTCCAAAGGCGGGAAAGAGAATGGGAGGGAAGGTTTTGCTCCAGAATGGGGCGGGGGAGGGGATGAATACAGTTCGACTCTGAATACTTCAACTGTGAAATGCCTAAGTTTGAGATGGCGAGTGAGCATCAAGAACTGTGAGTCTTGGGCTGGGGATGTGGCTCAAGCGGTAGCGCGCTCTCCTGGCATGCGTGCGGCCCGGGTTCGATCCTCAGCACCACATACAAAACAAAGATGTTGTGTCCACCGAAAACTAAAAAATAAATATTAAAAATTCTCTCAAAAAAAAAAAAAAAAAAAAAAAAAAAAAAAAAAAAAAAAAGAACTGTGAGTCTATCATCCAGAGAAATGATCTCCCCAGACTAGGAGAGGAATGTCGGGCTGGGGATGCAGTTCAGAGGCAAAGATTTGCATGCACACACTAGGTTGCATCCTCAGCCCTGCAAAGAAGTAAAAAAATAAAAACTGCAGGGCTATTACAGTACAGATGGTACTTTTGAAGCTATGAGACTGGATGAGATCACTTGAAAATGAGGCGACAAAAAAGAGAAGTGGCACTTAAGATACAGTGAAGCTGGGAACACTCCCTTCACCATGGCCCTCCCCCACCCACTGCCCTGCACACATGCCCAGAGCAGGTGAGCACACATGTGTGCACACGGTTTTAAATTCCCCCTTTATCCATTTTTTGGTGATGTCATTCTGTTGAGTGAAAAGTAAAGTCATTTAATATATAAGTAACCATCCAAGGGAGAGAAAACCTCCCATACACCGAGACAACAGGAGCAACCCGTACACAGCAGGACAGTCTGTGTACACAGGCTCTGGTGCCCCACTGGACAGTACAGGTGCTCCCTGATTTTTGATGGGGTTTTGCTTCAATAAGCCCATCATAACTTGAAAATATCACAAATCAAAAATGCATTTTAGGGGTTGAGGTTGTGAACCAGTGGTAGAGCGCTTGCCTAGTATGTGTGAGGCACTGGACTCGATTCTCATCATCACATATAAATAAAATAAAGGTCCACTGACAATTAAAACAAATATTTTTTAAAAAATGCATTTTTAGGAGCCAGGCATTGTGGCACATGCCTGTAATCCCAGCAGCTTGGGAAGCTAAGGCAGGAGGATCACAAGTTCAAAACCAGCCTCAGCAATTTAGCAAGGCCCTAAGCAACTTAGTGAGACCCTGTCTCAAAACAAAATGTTTAAAAAAAAAAAAAATAGGGCTGGAAATGTGGCTCAGAGGCTGAGTGCCCCGAGTTCAATCCCCAGTACCGCCCCTAAAATAGATAAATAAATAGGCTAGGAATGTGGCTCAGTGGTCAAGCATCCTGAGTTCAATCCCTGGTATGATGTCATCAGACATCATAACTTAGCAACACAGCACACTGGGGAGCGCCCACCATTTCCCCTCGTGATCCTCTAGCTGACTGGATACAGTTCACCACCACTGTTCAGCATTGAGAGGACAAAGCCACATGTCCCTAGCCCAAGAAAATACTCAAATTCAAAATTCAAAGTACGGCTTCTACTGAAAGCATTATTGCCTTTGTATCATCATTCAGTACAAAAAAATCAAGTCAAACCATTGAGAACTGGGGATCATGCGCACTGTATTCAGATCCCAGCTCCAACCTAATTGGTATGACCTCAGGCAACTCCTTCACCCTCTTTTCCTCTACCTGCTAAATGGGAATAACACTGGCTACATGGAGCATATCCTAAAACACTGGAGTCAAATTAGTATTTGTTCAATGAATAAATGAAATGGTAAAGATATATAAAAAGCCTGATTCAATAAACACTGCCAAATGACAAAGGAAAGACATGCACTCATCTTTCTCTTATCATTTCACCTCTTTCCATTCCTGTTCCATTCTGTCCTGCCTTTGATACAACAGCAATGGCCACACAGGTTACAATGCTGTGCCTTCTACATTTTCTCAAATATTGAACCATATGGCAGCTTCACATGGAACTACAGTCCCTTGCCACAGATGAGAAAACTGAGACTTGAACAGAAAATAGCCTCCAAACTTCAGGAACATTTTAAGGCACAGACAATAACAAAAACACTGCACTCAGCCCAAGGGTGGAGTTTCAGTGTTGTCAAACCAAACCTGCCTAACATCCTGTTGGGCTGGTAAAAGGGCAGGTGAGGGGAAGACCCAGAAGCTCAGAGGAAGGGATGGTATTTGTTTGGGGTCATGTGGGTAGCCCATTAAGAAAATGGGCACAGATCCCAAAGCCCTGTGCCCTCCCTGTCCCAAACCACACCCTGACCCAAACCACACCCTGACCAGTCACATGGTCACCCAGTTCACAAGCTCCCTGTCACCAGCTTCCAGGTCATCTGTGGGAGCTGGAGGTGGACACGGGATTGGAGATTAGGTTGTGGGCAAGCAGGGAGCAGAGGAAATCTAGAGGCACATGAGACAGAAAAAGCGGGGAGAGGGAATTAGAAATTGAAAAAGAAGAAAACACAAAAGAAACAATGCAGGAGACAAAGCCAGTGGGAGAGAACCAGGAGCACTTCGAGGGCACGGGAAGGAGGCTGAGGACCACTCAAGGGTCCCAGGGTGGAAGACGGAGGCTGCGAGGGTTGGGAAGGGAAGATTCTGGAAGTTAGGGTACTGAGGGAAGCACAAGAAGGTGACTGGGACACTGAAGAGGGGTCCAGGGACGAGGCCGGGTCCCTAAAAGAGAACAGTTGGAAATGAGCCAAGAGCGGCCATGGGATGGGAGTTGGGGACGTCGGGGGGATCAAAGGACAGAAACCAGAGACACTCAGACGGTCGCACAAGGATCAGTGGAAGACGTGCCTCAGAATCGGAGACACCAGGATGGTCCAAAGCAGGGTCCGGATGGAGACATCGGAGCCCCGAGTGCGGAGATTAGGGGAGGCCCCGGGGCCCCGCCCCCGCCCCCGCCCCGCTGCGGCGTCACTCACCTCGGCTTACTCAGCACTCTGCCGCCTCCTACTTCCGCAAACAAACGCGCGCCGCACCACGTGACGGCCCGACCTCGGCTCTCCGCCAATCATCAGAGCCCAGGCCC